CCAGTGTAAGTCCGGGCTGAGGAGGCAGGGAGTGACTTTCGTAAGCTTCCTTTTGATTAACTGCAGTGTAAGATGTGTGTATGTAAAAGTTCAAAATAAAACGTTCACATCGAAAAGCATTTCTCTCTTCACTGTTGATCTTGTGGCGATTTTTAGAGGGAGAGAGCTCGAGTCTCCCTCTTCCCCCAGGGTTCTTCCTCCACGAGGTGAAGTGGTTGGATCACAGGATCTTCAGGGCCACTTCCGGCCTTTGTCCAGGAGAAGCCAAGTGTTGGCCAATGTCCTTTGAAAGGAAAGGACCAGAAGGAATAGTGGGTCTGCCCAGAAAGGACTCCTGTTGTTTCTTTCTGCAGCCTCTCAGCGAAGCTGCAGGCCCTTTGTGGGGACTGGCGTGTCACAGTGTAAGACACCAGATCAACTTATTTTTAGATGACTTTTTAAAGCAACAATATGCATTTTTAGCTGCCAAGTCTTATTCATTCTTCATAGCCTTGCTCCTGCCTCATTTACATAAACAAAACTTTAGTCTCGTACCCAGAGCCTCTGGTCTCCCTGAGGATCTGGGGGCCTGACCCCTATGGGCTCTGGGGGAGCCCCAGGCCAGGCGGCCCAGCCTGGGCAGCAGAGAAGCTGCTTCTGTGGCCTGAGTGGCCTCACTTTTCCTGTCTAGAGAATGCTGGAGAGAAACAGGTATGAACAAGGGGTTATAGAGAACGGGCAAAAAACCTATATTTATTCATTCAACAAATATTGACCATAGCATAGTTCAGATGAACATGCCATATTTTACTGAGTTACCCTCTATCGCTGGGCAGTGTGGCGGTTTCCAGTTTTACTCAATAGTAGTTTGTAATGAACAACCAGGCGCCAGAGATACAGCAACAAACAAAACCCAGCAATGCCTGCCCTCCTGGAGCTCTGTGCGCCGAGGTAGGGACGCCGAAGCCCCACGCCCGGATCTGGCCGAGGTCTGTTGCCCGTCTGAGACTTGACCTGTGATATTTCAAGGCCCACGCCACGGATCAGTGCTCTGAGAGCTGTTTGATTTTATTTCGAGATTAGTCATCACATGCTTCATGTTTCTAGGTTTTTAATTACTGGTATACAAACTAATATCATGCCTTTTTCTCTACAACCTACAACCAGTATTTTCTTCCTACAGAAGAGTTGGAAGAATGTTACAATGTAGAGCTTCTGTTAACGTTTTGCCACCTTCATGCCCTCGCTCTCTCTCTTCTGTATGCGTATCATTTATAACACATAGACGTTTTTTTGCTTTGAAAGAAGGTTGCAGACTTCTAGCACACATCTAAGGCTAAGAGCATCCTGTACTTAACCACGTTATTACACCTAAGAAAGTTAGCAGTGATTTAATAATATTATATAGTATATCACTGTCCCCTGATTATCTCTGAAATGTCTTTTATATCTGAGGGGTTTTGTGTTTGTTTTTTGATCCAGAATATAGCCAAGTGTCAACTACTAGTAAATTCAGTTTATGTAATACCTTTGTGAATGGAAATAGTAACTAATAAAATTCATCTTGCTTGACATGGGAAAGAAGACACCGAATCATCATTTTAAAAAATTATTTTAAAATTATCTTTTAAAGTTATTAAAACCCTGGCTTCAGAGAGAGGCAACAATGACATAAGGATATTTTAATCAGAAAAATAGATAAAAGGAATCTAATAAATACAAGATCTAACCTATGGGCACAGTTAATTCTTGAGTCAGATGTTCTAGAAGGAAGAGGACATTTTTCCAAGCCTGGGGAGCACATGTGCTGTCCCCTGATTTGTGGAAGTGGTCACTGCAGAGAACGAGAGCACCCCATTTTCCTGAAACTGCCGGCCCTCCCACTGTAATAAAGCAGTGGCGCCACCACCAGCTCCCTCCGTTGAGCCAATTCAACAAACGTTTATATCACTTCTGTGTACCAGACGGTGTGCTAAGTGCAAGGGATGCAAAAATAAATGAGATGTGATTCCTGCCCCCAGAAGCTACAGAGCAAGCCACCTAGTAGAGGAGAGAGGCAGTCGATGTGCTGTGGCACTGTGGGTGGTGGCGGAGGACAGGGGTACTCCACCTGGGCGGCGGAAGGTTAACGGTCAGGATCTTTGCAAAGTTTATATGACTCTCCATGCACAACCTGCCCCTCTGGTAACCAAGGGTTGCCGGGAGTATAGATAAATCAAGGGTCCCAGTGATCTTGGGGACTCGGACAATATGTATTACACACATTCGAGACAGCAGTTCTTTTAGAGTCAGTAATCCCACTTCTAGGATTTTATACTGAGAAGTAATCAGATATTCGCAGATATATATACAGGGGTATTTATTGCAGTATTATTTATAAAATGAGAAACAATCTAAATGCCCAAAGTAGGAGACTGGTTACATAAATTATATATCCACACAAAACAGTATTGAAAATGATGTTTTAGAAGAATATTTCACGCATAGGAAGAGCTTCACAATATATTGTAAGTGAAAGAGCAAATTATAAAATTGTGTGGATCTCACCCACTGATCTCTTACAGTGATCCCCAGTGTGGAGGTTTTTTAAAGTACATATTTGCATTTAAAAAAAGAGTGAAACAATATCAACTGTTAACAGTGGGTGTGCCTAGGTACTGGAAGGGCAGAACATCCTATATATTCTATATATTTTCCTAATTTTTCATGATAAACACTTACCGGTTTTGTAATGAGAAGAAAGATTAATGGGGCCAGCCCGGTGGCATGGTAGTTAAAGTTCATGTGCTCTGCTTCTGCGGCCCGGGGTTCACAGGTTCAGATCCCAGGTGCAGACCTGGCACCGCTGGTCAAGTCACGCTGTGGCGGTGACACATAAAATGGAGGAAGACTGGCACAGATATTAGCTCAGCAATAATCTTCCTCAAGCAAAAAGAGGAAGATTGGCAACAGATGTTAGCTCAGGGGCAATCTTCCTCACCAAAAAATGAAGAAAGATTGAAAACAAAAGCTAATGCAGTGCCCCCTGTGCAATGCAGGACCCTCCCTCACCCCAGCATCAGACCCCTGCCTCCTCTCCCAGCTCCCCTCTACCCCAGCCTCACCCTGCTGTGGTTCTAGATCCGCTCCTCCCATCCAAACTTTGCTCCATCATTTAAGGCCTCTTTTCCTCCACCTTCAACCTCCCCCCCTACTGCCTTGTTTCCTGGAGCCTTTGAACAGGCTCCCATGTCTCCCGGCCTCCCTCACCCTCCGGCCCTCTCTGGCTGCTTCCCTGCCCCATCCTCCTCTCCCTCCACAGCCCAAGTGGCCTGGTGGCGACTTCAGCAAGTTCTTGCTACCACTGCCACAGGTGACCTCCCAGCTTCCCACCCTGGAGGACACTCAACATCTCCCACGGTTGCCGCTACCGAGCATCCTCCCCCTGGTAGCTCTCCCACCTCCACGTCCTGCCGCCACTATGGGCTGGTCCCCCAGCGCTCACCCCGACTCTTCCTAAAATGCCATGCTCTGCAGGTCCCCTTTAAGGTCCCTGAGCCATCCTGCTTGTTCTCTGGTTTCCATCACACACTGCTGACAGCCAAATCTCTAACTCCAGCCCAGATTTGACCCCAAGCGCTGCACGTGTCCCCACAGCACCCCCAATTCAGCGCCACCGTCTTCTGAGCCCTTGCTTCAGGGAATGGTTAATACCCCCACCCCCCGAGCCAGAATCCCATCCCGTGGGCCGCCAGCCCTCTCTCTCCCACCTGCCCTCCTAGCTCGGGCCCTCCTCTCTGCCTTCCTAAGCCGTCTTTCTCCCCCAGCCCCAGGAGAGCCTCCTGCCAGTTCTGCCTGCCCCCGTCCACCCTCCAGGACCGCAGACAGAAGGAGCTTTCTAGCACATCTTCATAGAATGTCATTTCTGTGACACCTGTTCCCTTAGGGATCAAAGCAAACCCTGGGAGACAGGGTCCGTCTCAGTTGACACTCACCCTCCAACTTCAGCCCTTGAAGCTTCCAGGACACCCTGTGCCCGCCAGCCTGCACTTTGTGTTGTGCCTTAAATCTTTCTGTAACAACGCAACATAAGTATCGACATTTTTTGCCTCTTCACTTGCTCATGATGTTACCTCTGCGGGAACACTTTCCCTCTTTTGGCCCCAGGCAAGCCTCAGCTCAGAGTTCTGGACTGACTGAGTGCCACACACAAACAGCCTTTCCTGCCCCCTCAAGGGGGGTAAGTGTCTGCTTGTCTTTGCTGCTGGAACTGACATTCAAGAACAAGCATTTTGTAGATCCCAACCCTAGGAAGGGCAGACACATGCTTGCCATGGTGTGTCCCCCACCAAGCCCTCGCTGGAGCAGGTGGCTAGTGTCCCCTTGTTGAAGGGGCATGACTGCTGTGCTGCCGTGCACACAACTGGAGAGCTTTCCTCAGGATCTGTCCTAGAAACTGACTGAGGAGCCTTCCCGCATCCATCTGTCTCTCCCTGATGTGCTCGCCCAGCCCCTGTCTCTCACAACTGGGCCAAGGCCTCTGCTGGCCGTCTCCGCTGAGCCGGGCGCCGACGTGAGGCAGGGCATGCACCATTTTGGCAGAGTCACAGAGCCCGCGCTCTTTCCCAGTCCTCTTCCCGCCTAACTCTTGTTGGCAGAGCTGGCATGACATGCCATGTCTTCTCTGAGTGGCTTCATCCCTTCTCTAATCTGCTTCACCCTTGGAGGAAAAACCAGAAGATAAGTGCCTTAAATTGTTTGGTTGAGATATGCTCCCATGTCACCCAATACCAAAAGATAGAAGTGAGCCATGTATCCCCGTAAATTTACAAGACCTGACAGGAGCGAGGTGAGGGTGCTTCGTGGTTTCTGCGAATATCCTTAAAAAAGGGTATTACCCTTAATATCATACCCTTAATATCTGCTAATATTGGTTTAAAAAAGAATTTCAGGTACTTCCTGTATTTGTTTGGGATGCTACACAGCAGTGAAATACCTCCTGGCTATCTGTATTTATTGCTGTTTTTTAATTTTTCCTCCAGCCTGGAAGACCATCCCATTTCTCCCCAGATGGCCCGGCACACCAGAAACGGCTGCCTTCCATCCCTGCTGGACGCCTACCTCCCAGTCGACGAGGGGGGTGAGCCTGGCGCATCTGAGCCTCGTGCTTTCTCTTCACCTGAGGACACTGGTGGCATGTGGGGTCAGCTCTGGGACTGGGGTGTCTAGAATCTAATGAAGCAGCAGCAGTTACAGATCCAGGATGGCCTGGGCCTCATACTTATTCCTGGGAAGTCCCCATCTCAGCCACAGCCCCGCGACAGAGAGGCCCCCGGGCCTGAGGTCACACAGCCAGACCTGACCATGGGCTTTTCCTTCTCAGCACACTGGGTCCACTGCTCATGTCTGCAAGCTGTTTGGGCAAGATTTCTGAATTGGGGAAAGCCATAGTTAATGTGAAATTTCAGAGTAGGAATCTCAGAACGATGTAGGTCTGTGACCAAGACTTTCCTTACCTCAAACTCTTGTGCCGAGGCGATCCAGCCACACGTTAGAAGGCTGGGTGGAATCAGAAATGTGCCACTGGGAGCAAAAACCACCCTGGGATCCAAACTCGTTTGGAAGCATCTAGTTGAGTTCGCCAGAGGCTGATAGGGGATAAAACTATTTTTTATCTGCCAGAAAAAATATATATGCTTTGAATCAGAAATGTACAAAGTTTTTTTTTTTTTTTTTAATTTTCAAGAGGAAATTAAAAGGATATGAGCAGGCCAGATAAAACTGGAATCTCCATTCAAATAGGAAAAACAACAGAGGAACAGGTCAGATTCCAGTATGAGAAACATCTGAGAACGTTTCACAATCTGCTCACAATTGGGTTCAGACGCTCCCAGGCCCCCCGTTGGGAGCGGTAGCCAGTTACAGAGAAAACCGGGTCGTTTGGGACTCTGGGGGAGGGTCTCTCGATGTGCAGGTTTAGAGGTTTTGCCAGCTTTGATCATCTGTTCTTTTACATGTGTTTCATTAGAGCTGTAAACTTTTCTATGCCTTTCCTAAAAGGTGATTACCTCCATAATTTATCCAGAGATTTCTGTTGCCAGAAAGGAGATTTTAGGCGGACTAACAATTTTTACCGATTTGACCTAATGCCATCGAGTTAAAAAGGATTTGGGGTTCTGTCGGCCTGAACTTCCATAGAGGCCCCACAGTTGGATTTCGTGGCTTATTTATCAGGAACATCCTTATTTACCAAAATGGCCACCAGGGTGGCCCTCTCTCCTGCACTGGTTGCAAATATGGTCCTGTCTCTTGGAAGGATTTATCGTGCTTTTATCTGTGGGGTGGTGACATTTGAGGTGGTCGTGTGTAGAGGTGGCTGAGTGGCAGCTGCTGGTGTTGCTGAAGATGTTGACGTTATTGCTGTTTTCGAGGACAGTTGATCCCTGACAAAGTCAGGTGCTGGCAAATTCTGGATCCTTGCGTGAAAACAGCGGGCGCCCCCCAGGAGACTCAGCCCCGGCGGTCACCAGCAGCTCCCAGGGCCTCTCCTGGGGGGCAGTAGCATCCTCCTGGCCCCGTTGGCCTGCTCTGAACACTGAGACCACATTCTGCGTGTCCCACCCTCCTGCTTGCTCCTGCTTGCTCAGGCCTAGCTGGGACCCAGGCCTCCCACCCTGCCCATCCACTCCCCTCCCGCCACCGAAGATTCCATTAGCCACCGGTCTTCACCCCCCCCCCGCCCACCAGCGACCAGGCATATTCACCTCTCCTCCCTGCCCTGCCAGGCATGCTCTGAGCCTCAGGTCAGCACCTTTGGTTCTCCTTTAAAATCCTTTCACTGGACAGAAATTCTCCCCTTGGAGAAGCCAAGTCTCCGGGTTCACGGCTTTCCCGAGGTCATCTGGTGAGCGTGGATTCCATTTCTGGTCTGGATTCTGTTCTTCCTTCTACCCTCTTTCAGGCTAGCCATGCTGCAGCCACCCCAGGACCAATGTCCCTGGACCAATGTCAGCTCCCCCAGCTGGTCTCGCCGCCGCCATCTCTTCTTCCTCTCACCCAGCCTCCACGTGAGGATGGGTGGCAAACGGGCTTCAGCTTACGTCCTTGGAATGCTGTGTGGAGACTGGTTCTGAGGCTGCAACTGGGCTCAGCCACGGTCAATGAGCAAGGAGAGGCGGCCATCCTCATTGTCTTCTGTTTCATTCCTTCCCTGTCGAGAACCCCCATCATACAGCCCTATTTCTCCAGCTCTTTCTCCCACTTCTGTGCTCTTCCCCCATCCCCATGTGGCCTCGCCTAGCTACTCCCCACAGGTCCCCTCACACATGACTTGCTGCTGAGTCTGGCCTCCTGGCCTTCACTTATGCTGGGAATTAATGCCCCACCTCGAGACCCAGTGGGAACCCCCCAGCACAGCCTACACATTAGCTTCGTTCAGAAACCTCCTTCACGGGGCCTGGCCCGGTGGCACAGCAGTTAAGTTCACACGTTCTGCTTCAGCAGCCCAGGGTTCGCCGGTTCGGATCCCGGGCATGGACCTATGCATCACTTATCAAGCCATGCTGTGGCAGGCGTCCCACATAGAAAGTAGAGGAAGATAGGCACGGATGTTACCTCAGGGCCAGTCTTCCTCGGCAAAAAAGAGGAGCATTGGTGGCAGATGTTAGCTCAGGGCTAATCTTCCTCAAAAAAAAAACGCAAGCTCCTTCACACCCATGCATTCAGTTAACACTGAAGGTAGAACTCATGATGAGGAACCTGTGCGATCCTCAAACTGCTTGATCGGTTGAACGCAGGGCCACAAAGTGCATTCTTTTTAGGCGAAGGACTCAGCCCCGCAGAACCAAGAGGAAATAGCTCCCAAGGGAAAAAGCCAGGAATGTGACCTAGAATTTTGCAAGACATTGGCCTGAGGAAAGTTATTCTCATTTCCCCATCAACCAAGACTATCTTGGATATCAAAATTACATGCCTTGTCGTAGATTCTAGAGTTAAAATGCCCAGCCCTGTCTGAAATGGATTAACCGGGGGGAAAACTGCTTTGTCCCAAGCAGCCTCAGGTGCATCCGCAAAGCTGCCCTTCTGCCCCCAGCCCCAGCTCTTCCAGGGAGTCTGTTTTTCTGTGGGGGGACCTCTGAACGCCTGCGGTGTGGAGGGGGAGGGAGAGGGGGGAGGCATATCTGTTCTATGGAGACCAAACCGAGATGACCTCACAGGGTCTCAGGAGAGCTCAGCTTGGTTCCTCCTGCCTCCTGCCAGGGGGCTTTCCGCCCCCATCACCCCACCCCCACCTGCCCAGGGAAGCTCCTGGTCCTGGAGGACTGCCTGCCTCCCGCTGGGCGCCATCTCTGTAGCCCCGTTAACTGTAACAGGATTTCCTCTGTGTGTAGCCTGGCACTTGGGTGCGGTTCCACTCAGTTGTTATTTCACACACCTAAGTTTGGTCTCCTGAGCCACCTCATAAGCCCACTGAGCAGAGAACACAGGCAAGCTGGCCAGTTGTCCATTGAAGAAAGGATCAGAGAAGGCCAAAATCCTACTTCCCCTTCCAGTTCTGAGAAGAGACTGTCCAGCGTGGGCTGTAAATAAAGCTACCCATCGGGTTCCATACCAGAGACAGGTTCCTCATTTGGGTCCAAGGAGAGTTATCTGCAAGTCAAAGCTGTGCCCCTTGCTGTAGGTTTGAGGAATCCCACAGGGAAGATGCTTCATGTTTAAGATAAAGCAGAGGCCACGTTGCAAAGGCACTGGAGAGATTTTTTGAATGAAAGGGCAGAAAGGAGCTTGGATTAAGGAAGCAGCGAGTCGAGACTCGGTCACAGTATTGCTCCGACAGTGACATGCGCCCCTTTGGCTGTAGAAGGAGAAGAGAAACGGAGTGGGGCTGGAGTAGAAGGGGTCCGTGTCGCTTGAAATACAGAACAGGCCCGTTCCCAGGCCCTCGGGAGAGCTCCTCGGCAGTGCCTCCCGTCGCTTCCCTGTGGAGGTCTGCGGGATGACCCAGGCGGCCCGGTCCTCGGCCGTGCCATCAGCTGCAGCGCTGCTAGCTGGGGATTAGGGCAGATCCTACCCCCTGGGTGGACTGAGGGATTCAGGCCTGAAGGAGCAGCCCAGGGTGAAGAGAGCCCCACGTCTGGTTTGCTGGATTTGGCAAATAAAAATACAAGACGCCCAGTTTGAATTTGAATTTCAGATAAACAACAAATAATTTTTCCATGTGCCTCTGTGATCCTCTGCAGAGGTGCCAAGCGGCGGTCTAGAGAGACAGTTCCAAGCTTTGTTGGCTTTTCCCTGAGAGGCAGAGGGGGGCCAAGGGAGTCAACAGGGCCGATGGTCTGCACCTCCCTGTGCTGTGTGTTTTCCAGCCAGAGCGTGCCCACTGCGCCCCCCGGTTGTAAATCCATCTAGTGGCTGCCGGGAAAGTTCTCAGGCTGCACAGGGAAACAAGTCCTCCTCCGTGGGCTCTGGGGAGCTGTCAGGGACTGGCCGGGGGTGCGTGCTTTTCTTGGCTTTGCGGCCCAGCCCAGTAAGAGCATCTTCAACGAGGTTCCAGAGCAGAAGTTGACTGAGCTCTCTCTCCTCCTCCCCAGCCGCTGTGGACGCCAAGCCAGGAGCGTGGTTGCCAGCAGGACGTCACGGAGAGCCTCGCCTGCCCGCCTCGGGGGCCCCCAGCCAGCCAAGGGAGGTGCCCCGGGCCCTGGGCAGTGGAGAGACCACCAGGTAGGAACGGGAGGTGTCCTGGGAATGCTGCTCTGAGGCCCAGCCTCTGATGATGGAGGCAAAGGCGCATTTTGTTGGGGTCTGAAGCACGATGCCAAGATACCCAGGAGAGGGTGGCCACCGCTGCTGATGACCACAGAGCCCGAGGGGAGGGACCTGCTACTTGGGAATTACCAGTTGTCACACTGGAAGAAGAGGAAACTCATAAATATGCCCAAGGGACTAGTTTTAAGAGCTGCTAGGTGGACATGTTTGAGGGGGATGTGTGATTCGGGGTAACTTGAGGTCAGTGTCCTATCTTAGCAATTTGCTTGCGGAGAAGGTGGGATGGAGGGGAGAAAGATGGAGAACAAGTTTAGTAAAACGTTCTGGTTCAGATTCCAGCTTTCTAAAACAGAAACGGGACCCCCAAGGAGAAGAAAAGGTGTTTTCTCTTCCTCTGCACCAAATGAGAGCGACTGGCCCTTGATGGGTCACTCAGGGTTCTTTAGAACCTAGAAAGGGCCTTCCGATGATCTCACAGGCCCCTTCTTTCAGATCTGGGGAAAGCTGCTCAGGGAGAGGGCCTGGCCCTGGTCTCCAGCTGTCTCCTGGCCGCCAGGCACCCCAGCTGCGCCCCCACTTCCTCCTGCACTGAGGCGTTGGGCGGAGCCATTTTGACCAGCCTGCACCCCTGCCGTCTCTGGATTGGAGGAGTTTTGCCATGGTGACTGGTCAGGCCTCCTGTGCGCCACTTTTCTGTAGAACAGGGAAGTAGTTCCGTTAACGCATCTGCAGCGAGCAGGCCCACTGACCGCTGTCCTTCAGCCGCAGGGCCTTAGGCGGCTGAGTAAGACGGTGGGAGGGCCGCGTTCCAGGCCCCCGAGGCCTGAAGCCCCCCCACCCCCAGCAGATGTTTCCCCCTCACAGGATCTAGGGGTCGGAGAAACCAGCCGGATGGCGCTGCCCTACTGCCCTTCCTGCAGGCTCCCCCTGATGGAAACCCCACAGAAACAGGAATTCCTGCCGAGTCTAGAGGACACAGGAACACCTGGAGCTGCCACAGCCACTGAGAACAGGCAGAAGGCCTGGCAGACCCGGCCCCCCCTGGAGGGAGAAAGTCGGAGATAAGGGGGAGGGGAGACAGGAGGGGGAAGAGTGCTGAAGCCCATTCCCCTTAGCAGCGGGCAGCACCCCTGCATCTTCCTTTGCCACCACTGCTGTTGGCAGAGCCTGGAGCTGGGCATGGGGTCAAGGGCGGGGTCAGAGCTACCTGGGGCCGCAGCGCTGTGTGCGGTTGAGCCAGCAGCACTTTGGGACCTGGCCTGGGACCTGGCAAATCTCTACCCGGCAGAGGGTATAAAAGATGGCTGGGTGAGCCAGAGGCTGGGGCGGGCTGGGGTGGGGAGCCCGGGGGCCCAGAATCTGGTCTCCTTCAGCCCAACCCCCGACCAGCTGTGGACCTGGGGACGGGCCTCCCCTGCCTGGGCCTCCTCCGCCCTCAGAGTGGCTGAAGGTGAGCTCTGGCAGTGGAAATGCCCGAGGCCCACAGGCAGTCAGCCGGCTCAGGGGTTCTCCAGCTCTCGGCACCCTCCTGAAGTGGGGGCTCAAAACGAGTGGGTGGGCCAGAGCCTAGGCTGGGCCCTGCTGCCCTGGCCTCATCGCTCCCAGGACAGGACCAGGATCTAGTCCTTTGGCGCAGCCAGGCCACACCTGCCCTTCTGGTGCTCGAGCCACTTCTTTTTCCTTCCTGTCAATGCCCAATTCATTTCTGAGGCTCACCCTGGGGATGGTCCTCTCTCCCCAGAAATAACTGTTTTCAGAGTAGGCAGGGCACCCCAAAAGCTCTCTTCTTAGAAACATTTCCATTTGTTACCCCAAATGGGGTTACCCACTTGGCCTCCAAACTTCTGTTGGGCACAAATGCCCCCTCGGGGTTAAACCCATGGGTGCTCTCGCCCTAATGTCGATCACTTGAACTCAACTCTTATTTTAAGTCCGGGGCTCTGTGTGAGGAAGAGGAGGATGGGAAGGGGGAGCGTGCGGTGGCCCCATTCCCCTTCTTACCCCACTGGCTGGCTGACCCCTGCCTGGAATATTCTTTTCCCACCTTAGCCTTCTCTTAACCAGGCTGCTCCCGGTCTCAGCTAAGTACCCCTTCCTCCCGCCTGAGCCCAAAGTCCAGTCACACAGCCGCGTCCCCACGCACGGGGGCCCAGAGCCCACTGTGTGGTCATGAGGTCCGGGACTCTCCCGCTGTCCTCAAAGACAGGGGCCATGTGAAGGGTGTTTGTCCCTGCGTTCCCACACCTGGCCCAGAGCAGCCTCTCCAGATGTTTATGAGGAGGAGAAAGGGAGAGGCATGGCCTGCATGCGGGCCGTTTGTCCCTCAGCTTCCCCCAGCTCCTCTCTCAGTCTTTAGGGTGAAGACAGACAGTCGGCCAGGTGGGTGCTGCTTGACCGCTCACAGCCCGTGGAAGGCCCCTGGAGCTGAGAGTTGACACAAACGGTAGCTTGAACGATAGCGTTCCTTCTTAGCCCCAACTTGGAGGGGGTTGAAAGCTCATTGCAGCTCTGGCTCACGCCGGTGCTTCCAGCCACTGGTCGTGCTGTGAAATTGCCTCCCCAGAAGCCAAGGAGCAACAGGTTCAGCGCCTGTGACCCCCCCCACCCCCCACCCCCCAGGGCCAAGCTTTGCTTTTTTCTATCTGCTTCTTAGACTCCTTAGCACTAAATAGCAGAGAAACAACGCTAGTAACCAGGCTTTAAAAATGCCATTTGTTTAAAAAAAAAGAAAAAAGTATTTATCCCGGGAAGAGCCGGGGTGTTCTGCCGTGAATCCGTCGGTCCGGACCGCGAGGGCTGACTTGCACCCCGGAACGTGCAGGCCTTGGTTTCCAGCTGTCACCTCCCGGAGGGTGGTGGGTCTCACTGCCCAGACTGTCACGTGGCCTTGCCTGCCTGCCGTCTGTGGGCACTGGCGCGTGGTCCACGCGGAGATGAGTCCAGGTGGACCGGGAGGGAGCTTGCTCACGTTCCCTCCGTGTGGCCCCAGGGACAGGCGAGGAAATGGGCTCCTGGGGTTGGAGCTGTCACTCTGGCACAGACGCCGACCTGGTCCCGGGCTGGGATTAGAAGCAAACATTGTCAAAGTTCCTGTCCTGCCACAGACAGGAAATGACTCTTTTGCGAGTATTGTGACTTTCAAACAATAAGGAAGAAAGAGATTTTACAGATGTCTGCACATGCGCTTTCTCCCCTTCACATTTGTCCCAAAAAGACACCACGTGGCAGCTCACGACGACAGATACGGCGCATCAGCTAAAAGAAACGACAAACTAACAGCAAGGAAGCTGGGGAAATTAGGACGGCATAGCTGTGTGGTTACACCCGCGTGTGCGCACGAACACACACATGTGTGAACTGTTGATGAGGTCTCCATGCCTGCCTTCATCTGGTGTGTGGTCTCCCCGGTCCCAGCCTGTCTGGGTTTTGTTGTAGCCCAGACACACTGTCCGCAGCAATGACCGAGAGCCAGTTGGGAATGTGACGAGCAGAGTCCACTTAGGGGACCCCTGAGCACTTTCACTTGCACGGTAATGCTCACGATGGCTCCCAGGACCTGAGAGGACACAGGAGAAGGTGGAGAAGGCTCCACTGCGGGATTATGACTCAGCAGCATTCCAAACGCAAGTCGAGATTAAATATCTCCAAAAGCCTTTTATTGCTGTTCGCTTCCCACACAATGTTCCTATTGATGAGCGGAGATAATATAAGCAGGCCGGGCCTCTCAGATCAAAAATGGCCTATCTCGCAGGGCCCCTCCTGCAGTTTACGCATATGCTGAAGTTTGCTATCTGCCTGGACCGTCACCATGTGTTCCTGCAGCAATACTTTTTTCTGAGTCAAAGGTGACCGCCATCCTGAACTTCCCGTCGGTGTCTTTTACTCCTCTGCCCCAGTCTTGCCTCTTCTCCTGCCAGAGCATCCCCATTTCCCAGCTCTGGTTCCTGGCTGCCCATGCTGCTGAGCTCGCCATTCTGGGGAAATGGCGGCCCTGAGGCCACTCAGGGGCCAAGCTGACCCTTACTGACAGCCGTCCAGCCTGCCTCCCATGTTGTCCTTCCCAGAAGGTCCTGATGTCGTCATCCCTGTGGAGTTCAAGGACGGTGACCAGCATCCTCAGTCAACACAGCCGCCTCCTGCAGCAGCCCCCAAGGCAGTTTGGAGAACTTCCTGGGGGTAGGCTCTGCCAAGCCAAGGGGTGGCTCCCTGGTGCTCTGCCAAGGGCCACTTTCTCCAATGCCAGAGGGAGGAGCCAGCCAGAGCGGGCCCGTCTGAGAATGGTCTTCCGCCACAACACTACCCTGGCCAAACAAAGGGCATGTCCTGGGGCAGAAAGGAGGCTGGCTCTTAAGGTGTATTAGTCAGGGTTCTCCAGAGAAACAGAAGCAACAGGATGTGTATATATAGAGAGAGATTTATTTTAAGGAATTAACTCACATAATTGTAGAGGCTTGGCAAGTCCAAAATCTGCAGGTGGCCCAGCAGGCTGGAGACTCAGGGAAGAGTTGCCATTCGAATCCAAAGGTATTCTGTGGGCACAATTCCTTCCGGCTCAGGAGAAGGTCAGTCTTTACTATTCGGGCCTTCAACTGATTGGATGAGGCCCACCCACATTATGGAGGGCAATCTGCTTTACTCAGAGTCCAACTATTTAAGTGTAAATCTCATCCAGAAAACACCTGCACAGAAATATCCAGAACAATGTTTGACCAAATACCTGGGCACCATGGCCCAGCAAAGTTGACACATAAAATTAACCCACCCGTAAGGGTTTTCATACACATTGTCAAATTGCTCTCCCAAGAGTGGGGCCCTTTTCTGGTTGCCCTGGGGTTGGATATTATGGATTCCTAGCCCTGCTGTCCAGAACTTTCTCTCTCTTCGCTTCTTGCCGACTCGCCTCAGCTGCCCCCTGACCCTGCAGCTTGACCTTGCTGCCTGTTGGCTTTGAGGCCCCGTATGGTGAAACCAGCTGACCGTCCTGGACCTGCACAACTAGCCCCTCCAAATCAGGCCCCCCTTCCCACGGCTGTGTGATGGGACACCCCCAGGGGACCCAAGGCCTGCCCTCTGCCATTGCCCCTGCCAGGAAGAGCTGCCAGTGTTCGCCTGAGTTGTTTTCACTAGTTTCTCTCAGTTGCTCCTTCTTAAAATGTAGTAGGGCTACGTTTAAAAACGGTCAAGATGGTAACTTTTATGTTGTGTGCATTTTACCGCCACTTAAAAATAATGAACTTCTATAACGATAAAAATATGAAAATAAGAATAGCAAGATAGGAAAAAGAAGTCGTTTGACCTAAATGGAGTTAAAAGAAAACCCGCTCCCTAGACCCGATAGAAAGCTCCTTTATATCTGTAAGAAAAGCATCGCAATGAGATTCATCTCATTCTTTGACGATCTCGGTCCCCTGGTCTGACAGGCCCCTTATCTGTGAGCTCCGCAAGCACAGGAATTTGGTCTAGTTGACCTCTGACCCCTGGTTCCTGGCATAGTTCTTAGCCCACGTGTGCGTTATCACTGAATGATGGAAAAACAAAACATTAGGGAAAGATGTAAGAGATGACCGTATATCAGTCAGCTAGAATTGTCCCCAAGCAATATAAACAGTAATGACGGAGGCCACTCAGACACGTGGAGAGAGAACAGAGAAGGCTCATAAAGACAGGGCAACACAGAAGAGAATGTATGACTGCAGCCACATCAAAACGTGCATGCGTGCACAAGGCGTGACATGGAAAACGTTCAGGGGGAAAATATTTGTGAGTGATGTAAAAAAATAAAATTTCTTTTTAGAGAGAAAATTATTTTAAAGTTAAAAAAAAAATGCCCTAGGCCTAAGGCTCTCCTGGTGTGAAGGACTTTCCTGCCTAAGATGGGCAGTGTTTATGCCAGTCTTTTCCCGAATCTGAATTTGGAAACGTTTTACATGTTTAAGTTTTATTTTTCTAATTATTCAGATAATATATTCTCAGTGTAAAAAAGGCAGGGAGGCATATGGAAATAGAGAAATGAATCAAATAAATGCCACAGTTTCTTCCCAAGTCGCACTCCCCAGAGCTGAAACCCCTATTTGTAGGGCGCTTACCACGGCTGGGCCCCAGGCACGACCTCACTGAATCTTCAGAGCTGTCCTATAGATGTTTTACAGGTAGGGAAACTGAGGCTCCCAAAATGTCAGCAGACTTTCCCGCATTCTGTCACCAGCTAGAGAGCAGCAGAGCAAGACTGAGGGTCTGGGCCCTACCAAAGAATGCAGCCCCTGGGCGCACCCCACCTCCCCCACCGCCCTCCTCACTGGATCCTGTGCCACACACACACACACACACACACTCACTCACTCATACCTGTGCACTGGGAAGCCTTGCAGCCTGTCAGTAGCTCCCTGGCCTGGCCGGGGGACCCTCACTTGCCTAGCACGATGTCTGTCTGCTTGCTGTGGGCTGACTGTGTGAAGCCCACAGACTGAGGCGCCCACTTAGGGAAGGGAAGCCAGACCTGCCGTTTGCAGAGCATCCGCTGCACGCTGGGAGCTGGGCTGATGCTTCCATTAGGTCATTCACTGCTGACAGTAAGGGCTACTGCCTGGGACTCCGGTCTTCAGAGTTGTAGTCAGGAAAATGGGCACATAGATAGCAAGGGTCCCAGAAGTCGAGGTGGGAGCCAGAGTTGTGCCTGCCAGCAGCTCACTGACAGCCAGAGAGAAAGGGCTGAGCGGGGGAATGACATCCCCAACCGCAGCCGCGCAGCATGGGAGGTCACAGAGTCAGGATCCCACTCCCAAGACTTCTTGTCTAACAGCATGAAGCTGCAGTGGCTGCAGGCCCTGGAGGAAAGGAGGGAGCTGGCCCCAAGACATGGCCAGCACGTCTCTGTCATGCTGGTCCATAGGGCTGGGATCCTGAGCATGTCTGGGAGAGGGTTGGCTGTAAGATGCCACTGGGCTCAAATCTTGGCCTCGCTACTGCTTGTTGTGTGTATGACCTTGGGAAAGGTCATGGACTCGGAGCCTCAGTTTCTACATCTGAAAAATGGGGTAGTAATGCCTGTCTCTCAAAGGATTGTTTGGGAGTTTAATGTCACCCTCTCAGCAAGGCCTTCCCTGGCCACCCCATTGAAAATTCGTTTCCTATTCTTGCTGTAAGAAAGTGCCACAAATTGAGTGACCGGAACACAAATCTATCATCTTACAGTTCTGTAGGTTAGAAGCCAACGCAGACTTCACTGCGCTGGAATCAAGATGTCCACAGACATGTTGCTTTCTGGAGTTCTAGGGGGAGTCTCCTTTCTGTCTTGTCTGGCTTCTAGCGGCCACCTGCCCTCTTTAGCTCGTGGCCCCTTCCTCCACCTTGGAAGCCTTGCATCTCTGTGCCTTTCCCCCACAGTCACACCGATTTCTCTGAGTCTCTTCTTCTGCCTCTCTCTCCCACCAGTAAGGACCTTCGTGATTACCGTGGCGCACCCTGGTCATCTAGGATAGTCTCCCAATCTGAAAGTCAGCAGGTTCGCAACCCCACTTCCATCAGCAGCCTTAATTCCCCTTTGTCACATGAGGTTCCAAGGAGTGGGAAGTGGACGTAACTGGGGACTGTTACTCTGCCAGCTGCACCCTCCCTGGCGTCCAGTCTAACGTGTCAAGACTCTCCCATCTCCCCTTCCTTTCCCTGCTTCATCTCCTCCTTGGCGTTTGTTTCTTTTTTATTATCTCCTTCCTCCCCTCGAATGTGAGCTCCATGGGGGCAGGGGTTTATGCTCCACCCCACGCCCAGCCCGTGCCCAGGACGGTGCCTGCCCGGCATCCATCAGTGCTTGGAGAAGGAGTCTTCCTTCCTCCTGTGACTCCTAACCATGCAGTAGCTGCTGTGACTCCGGATTGCACATTTTGTTCCAGGGAATTTACATCAGCCGTCACCTGCAAGCCCCGGACGCCCTGCACCCCAGAGATCCTGGACCTGACCCCACCCAAGGCCAAGGCGTCGGCTCTGGCCCCTCAGTTCTCCTCGTGTGGCCCCCAGCAGGCTAGCCGCCCTGGCTCCACAGCATCCTCCACGAGGGGCCTGCAGAGTAAGTCTCTCTGTGGGGGAAGGGCAGTGTGTTTCCCACCCGGAGCCCTGCTCCCTCTGTGCCCAGCTGGCTGTTGGGAAAGGCTGCTTCCCCTCCTGCAGGACCAGGGCCCTAGCCGGCTGCTTCCTTTGCCCTGGGGACCAGTTCGTCATGAATCTTTCTGTTTATGAAATTGCCCTTGGCCTCAGCGGCCCACACACAAGCTGGCAGAGTGAGACCCTCCGGGCAGTCCCACTTGCAGATAAGACCCCCTCTGTGGGGCTTGTGTGGTCGGCCCTGAAACCTGCCTTCTGGTGGGAGGTAGCCCGCAGCTGCTCGGGCGGCCTCAGACTCAAACAGAAGCACCTGCCACCTTGCAGGCCCGCCAGAGGGGCCGAGGATGGGGCAGGCTCAAGGGGTCCCTGCTGTGTCCCTGAGGTCTCCCTCCCACCCTTTGGTGGTCCCTGTAAAGACCACCTCTTCCTCTCTCTCTGTCCTCTCCCAGCCTCGGCCAGTTGACCACCTCCCTCCACTGCCCAACTGAGCCTGGCCCTTTCTAAAGGGCTTTACTAAAAATAAGGGAAAACAAAAGAGAAACAGAACAAAAGAGTGTCAAGCAGCGCAGCCTCAGTCACACTCAGGATGTACGCATTTCTGTGGCTGCTGTCCCGCTCCCTTCCGGACAGGCCCTGGGCGCTCCGGCCAGCTGGGGCCCTGAGGGCTGGGAGTGTGGCTCCTGGGCCACGGCTGGGAAGCGTGATGGGCTGTCCCCTCCTCCCAGCTCCTATCTGCTGGGAAACACACCGCGCAGGCCCGGCCGCATCTCCCCCCAGCAGAGCAGGTCAAGGTGCTTCCTCACCGAGGCCCAGAAGAAGCACCCGCAGTGCAGGGAGAGCTTGGCCAGGAGAGAGGCAGACGGGCCCTCGAACCCTGCCGGGCCTCCAGGCCGCACCAGGCTGGGACCCGAGCTAAGAATAATCGTGGTCATCACACCAGCACTGATGGACTGGCCGGCCCCACAGCCCATGACACAGCGCGGCCCTGGGCGGCATGGAAGGCTTGGCGCGCACAGGTTTCTGGCCTGTGGCCTCAACAAACACATGGGCTGTTGCCAGCAAAACTCACTGAGCACCCCACACCCAGCAGCCTGCTTCCTGTGAGGAAAGAGCAGAGCCACACGAGTCACGGCCTGGCCGCAGAGCAGGTGACCCGCAGAGGGAAGGGTCTCTTCTTCTGTTTGCACAGAGCCCGTTGAAAGAAGGGATTGTGCCGGACAGAGGGGCTCTGTGCAGGCCGTCTTGGTGCTGGCAGCTTGCTCTGGCTTTTCTTCCCCAGGCAGCCAATCTTACAGGAAGTGAGGATGGTTTCTTCCCCGGTGTCACTGTCCTGTTGCCTGAGGACCAGTCAGCTTCCCGTTCTTGGCCAGCCAGCAGCTGCAGGTGACAGATGTGAAGAGACGGTTGTCTGCCAGCCGCCGGGTGGCGTGGGGAGCTGTGGAAAGGACGGCTCTCCAGGCCGTCCAGGAGCAGGCCCATCGCAGCGCCCACCACCCAGGTCCCGTTACTGCCCTTCCTGGTCGCCCTTCACACACAGGAGGAGAGGGGTCCTCACGACACCCAGCTCGGGGGACTGTGCCACTGAACCCACCAGCCGGGCCATCTGGGGAGCTCATGCAGGGGGAGCCAGGGGCCGGGGAGCTCAGCCAGAGATGGGGCCTCGGCCTCACTGGAAACCGGCTCTCCTCCCTCAGAGGAGACAGAATACAGGAAACCCGTTCTCAAGCCATATGCCCGAGCAGCAGGTTTGGTGTTTTCCTCCTCTTTTCAGATCTGGTGAGAATATGGTCTGTTCCCATCAATGACTTGGACTGTGGCCGTTCCAGAGCCACTGTGTGTCTCACAGGCTCACAGGGTTGACCAGTCAATGCTACTTCCCTCCCTCCATTAAGGCCATACATGCAAACGATTCCCCTGGCAAAAAGACTGGTCCCTGCTGGGGGAGCCCGACTCGCTCCTCGAGGGTGACGTCAGGGCCACGTCTTAGGACAGAGGAAGGAACTTCGCCCGCAGAGCCATCAGTGTTACCAAAGCTGGTAGCAAAGTCTGACCTCTCCTAAGATAGAAATGTTGAAATAAAATTAATCAGTATTTAGAGGGTACTTGTGTGTGTGTGTTCATGTCTGTGCGTGTGCACAGTCACGTGTTATTCCTCGGCGCTCCGTCTGCCCTGGCCATGCCCGTCACTGGAGAACTATTGTGGTCCCACTGGGTGTAAATAAAGGACAAGCAGTGCACTTTTCAGTGATCTTCTGATCCTCAGGAGAGCGGGCAGAGGAGAAACGGGGCGGGCACGAGGCCAGGTCACCCAGGAGATGACCAGAAACTTGGCTCCTGGGTGACTCTTGTGAGCTCTTGGCAGTGACGCAAGGCTGGGCACTGTTAGAACTCTGTGCTTGTGCAGCTGGCCCGGAGGCCACATCTCGAGTCTCTGGCAGCGTGGGAGCCCCGCTGTGTTCCTGGAGAAGAAGGCTGTGGAGAACACGGCCCTACCTTCTCGGGAATGTCAACCTCCTGGCGCTCTGGACGCCTGACTTCACCCAAGGAGGTGTAAAGAGAAAGTGCAAACACCTGTGTCCAGGACTGTTGACATGGACAGACGCGACGAGCAGAGCCCGAGTCCCCGAGATGAAACCCCTCATGATGAAACTGTCAAAGGCGTGGAGAGGTTGCAGATGAACAGCGGAAGAGCATGATGGAAAAATCTCTCCTGTTCTCCCCAGTACGTCCACTCCCTCCAGATTCCTCAGATGCCGCTGACGGGCACGGCTTCCCCCGGCCTTGGCGTAGGAGCAGCCCCATGCGGAGGTCTAGAGTGGGTGGAGCATCGTCCATTTCCACCCTGGGTCTCCCTGGTGGGAAGACAACAGCTGTCCCCGCCTCGAGCCTCCGGATGAGCTACCGTCTGATTTGTGAATGTCTGGCCATCTCGGGAAAAGACAAGACAGTCTTTTTTAGAGATGAGGGGAGACTCCAACTCAGGGTCAAACTGCACTGAGGTCACTAGGTGTGGTCCGGAGAAAGTAAATACCACCAGCCTCCGCACCACACCCTGGGAGAGTCCTCTCGCGGGCACGCGGCTACATCCCAAGGCTGATGGCTGGCAAGAGACTGTAAAATGCCAACAACCTAGGCATAAATATGCCAGCTATCTGCCGGCCCCACTGTGGTTGGATATGAACATGATCTGAGGGAGAGAGAATCAAATTCATGAATAAACCGAAACATTTCACGGGTCACCTGGAAACCTAATCTAGGATTTGCCCATGAAAGCTACGCAGGGGAGCCATGAAGAGGAGCCTGTGGGACTTTTGAGAAATGGTGGGCCTTCAGGAAGATTCCTTCTGCCCCTGGAAGCTGACCCCAGCTCTCTGGTTACCTGGCCCCCTAATTTCTCCTGAGTAGGACTTGATCTCATTTGCTTCCTTCACAGCAAGGTGTAAATGTCTGGCAACAGCTTAAATTATGACCCTTGGTGGGAGTTCGAGATCCAGTCAGATACCAGGGGTCACTGAGTAGATTCAGAAGGATTTGCCCAAATTGAAAGAGCTAAGTAACTAACAAGCAAACGCACAAATAAATAAGATTAATGCAAGAAAATCCATGACAAAACAAAATATCAAACTTTTTAATAAAACAAGATCTGACCCATTATGATGGTAACTTGCTTGCCAAACCCTAATCGGAGACCCGATTCCAATGAAACTTGATTTACAAAAATGAGCGGCCAGCCCACGGGCCATAGTTTGCTGGTTTGAATTTTTTTTTAATGGCATTAAAACATTATTTATCTTGATTACCAAGTTTCGGGGCACCCCTTACACTTTCTGTGCGAGGAGATGCCTCACTCACCTCACCCTTGTCCCCGCCCAGGAACTGGGGGATCCTCCTGGCATTCCCAGCTCAGCCTCGTGGCTGGATGGCTGGGCCTGCCTGCCTGAGCATCTTCATTTCTCCAGACACTGGTGAGTTGTGATAAGAAGGGAATCCGTCTGCTTTTGCACATAACAAGCTACCCTCAAAACTTAGTGGCCAAAAACGACCATTTTCTAGCTTTAGAATTGTGTGGATCGGCAATAGGGGCTGGGCTCAGAGGGGTTCCGAGAGTTCTGTTGGGCTTGGCTGGACCAGGTGTGCACCTACAGTCAGAGGGCAGTGAATGGCCTCCCTCGTGTCGGCAGTTGGCTGTTGGCCAGATCCTTGGTGCTCCTCCATGAGACCCCTCATCCTCCAGCAGCTAACTTGGCTCATTCCCATGGTGGCCGCAGGGTTTGGGGGCAGTAAGTGCTATTCAAGTATCTATTTGCATCGTGCTTACCGTTTTCCCATTGGCCAAAGCAGGTCACATGGCCAAGGCGAAAGTCTCTATGAAGGGACAAGGATACAGGAACACTGACCAAACTGGGGACATGACCACAACAATCTGCCACGTAGATGTGGTTCAGGGTTTTTCCCACTATGGCATAACCACCCGATTTTAATTCAGTTCAGCAAACATAACCTGTGCAGCTGCTCTGTGTTGGCATGTGGGGGGTTGTGATTTTGTTAAATTCACATTTGATGAGGGGAGCCCCGGGTGAAAGACCGCGGGGAAGTGAAGTAGAGAAGTTTATTACTCACAGGGCCTGGACGACAGACACAGCTCACCTCGAGGACCACGCGGGGCAGTCAAGGCCCAGCCCAGCGCGAGTAGCAGGACCAGGGGAGTCTACCTTCCTTAGGATCCACAGGTGGAGTGGTTCTGGGGTTTCCAGGCTAAGGCCAGATTGGTCAATTCAAACCAAAAAGGGGGGTTTTGATAAGCTCCGCAGGGGTCTTACCTAAGGGGTGCACGAGGGGCAGGAGCTGGGAGGCAGGAAAGACTGCCACCAGGAGTCTCGAGGACATCCTCTCAGGAGCTT